AATAAAAGTAGAATAAAAGTAAATGGGGAAAATATCTGATTCATCAACAGAAATTCTGACTGAAAATCAAAGTGAAATGAATGAGGGCTTTCTACACTGATGTTAGTAGAGCAAATCAGAACTGGTCGCCAGCAAATTTAACTAAATATAAAACAAACAATGAATGCAGAAAAAAATAAAAGATAATCAAGGTTTGTTTCAAGGTGTCTACAATGAACAGTCCACTGCCTCCAACCTGACCAAGCAAGCATAACAACTTCTATAGTGGTGGAATTTTGTCTACCCATACAGATACATGTTCTCCTCATCTGCAAAGCAGATGAGTCTTATGAGATATTTTAGTCTGAGACACAGTGACAGTCTGAAAGTCATTTGATGGCCACAGCTGCAGAACAGCTTAATTGGCAAGAAAACATCTGCTGGCTCCTTCCCATTACCTATCGTCCAACCATGATTTGTTTACCAGGTAACCACTGAACGGATTTTCACATCAGGCTGCCTTTTGCAAAGTACAACAGAGCAGAACAGAAAGTTGAAAGATAGCCTATAATTTTGCTGTCTCCGCAATTCGAGACTTTTCACAATGACCCATCCCACATTCAGAATTTAAATATGCTCATTTTGATAGTTTCACTACAAACACCTGTCTTAACTATTTTTGGGGGGGAAAAACACTGCTTGAATAAGTATCCCATTCTCCTTTACTTATACAAATGGCAACTTAAAATACTCAGAATTAGTCAGCATTGGTTAATATATAACACAGCCTAACAGATGTGTTGGGCTCAAGTGCCTTCATGCTCAGCCATCTAGAGCAGCAACAGTTAACCTTTTTGAGTTTGAGTGCCAAAACTGGAGCGCATGTCGTAGCGCCAGAACCCAGAAGAGAGCAGCTGGCTGATGCACATGCGTGTGGCAGTCAGCTGCTCTCATGGGTTCCATTGCACGCATGTGCACCGGACAGCTGATCTCTTCCGGGTTCCGCCAGCTGGTCTTTGCACAAAGACCAGCTATCCAGCGTGCATTCACGCGACAGAACCTAGAAGAGCAGCTGGCAACGGCACACGTGCCCACAGAGAGGGCTCTGTGTGCCACCTCTGGCACACGTGCATAGGTTTGCCATCACAGATCTAGAGGCAGTAGGTGGGGAACGTCTGGTTTAAAATGTAGGGTTACTCCTTCACTGAAAAACCTATCATATATTCCAGATTTATGGTATTCAATTTAAGGAAAAACGGCAGATTTCAAGCTAGAAGAAACAAAAAAGACTTTGGAGTAATGTTCATAAACTAATAGATTTGATCAATCAAACACCAAAGTTGCTATTTCTGGGGAAACAAAGTATTTCCACCAAAAGAAAAGTAATATTGTATATAATGCACATCATTAAAAAAAAGCAACAACAAGCAAATCATTTTTGGTACTTTCTATTAATGACAAACCAATACATCTTTGAAATAGTATAAAATGTGTATTCAATATAATCTTCCTAAGTAAGAAAACACTGTTATTCCACCACCACGTCTGCAAAATCAGTCCCCAGTATTGCACAAACAAAAATAACAAAGTAATTCAGAAGACCAAAATTGCAATGAAGATCTAGTAGTTCAATTACTAAAGCTTCTGTATTCAAATAGGAAAACCAAAAAAATATATTTAACAGCCATTTAATTATCAACCAGAAAAACAAGCAGAACAGCCTCATAACACTAGGAAAAGATCTGAGCAGAAGATGTTCAGCTATTAAACCAATTAATAGTTAACTCACTATGAAAAACTGCCATCTCCCTGGGGTTCCCTCTAATGATCACTGAATAACAAAAGCAAATAAAAGGCATCAGCATCGTAAGAAAAAAGTCAAGCTTGACACTTGGCAAATGTATGGACATAATCATGCAATTTTCTTGGCAATAACAGGAAGTACTTTACAGTGTCTTCCTCCCAATCATCTCTACAAGCCTGGTGATGCTTTGGTCTTTCATAGGAACATGGTGGCTCAGTGACTAAGACGCTGAGCTTGTTGATCGAAAGATCAGCAGTTCAGCGGTTCGAATCCCTAGTGCTGCATAACGGGGTGAGCTCCCGTTAGTTGTCCCAGCTTCTGCCAACCTAGCAGTTCGAAAGCACGTAAAAAATGCAAGCAGAAAAATAGGGACCACCTTTGGTGGGACGGGAACAGCGTTATGTGCGCCTTTGGTGTTTAGTCATGCTAGCCACATGACCACGGAAATGTCTTTGGACAGCACTGGCTCTTTGGCTTTGAAACAGAGGTGAGCACTGCCCCTTAGGGTCAGGAACAACTAGCACGTACAGTTGCAAGAAAAAGTATGTGAACCCCTTGGGATTACGTGGAGTTTTGCATGAATTGGTCATAAAATGTGCTCTGAACTTCATCTAAGTCACAACAATAGAAAAACACAGTCTGCTTAAAATAATATTACACAAACATTAGATGTTGCCATGGTTTAATGGAACATAACATGTAAACATTCACAGTGCAGGGAGAAAAAAGTATGTGAGCCCCTAGCCTAATGACTTCTCCAAGAGCTAATTGGAGCCAGGAGTGAGCCAACTTTGACTCCAATCAGTGTGATGATATTGGATGTGTTGCTGACAGCTGTCCTGCCCTTTAAAAACACACACCTGTTTTGGGTTTACTGGTTTCGAGAAGCACTGTCTGATGTGAACCATGCCTCGCAGAAAAGAGCTCTCAGAAGACCTACGATCAAGAATTGTTGACTTGCATGAAGCTGGAAAGGGTTACAAAAGTATCTCCAAAAGCCTTGATGTTCATGTGTCCACGGTAAGACAGACTCTACAAATGGAGAAAGTTTAGCACTGTTGCTACTCTCCCTAGGCGTGGTCGTCCTGTAAAAATGACTGCAAGAGCACAGCGCAGAATGCTTCATGAGGTAAAGAAGAATCCTAGAGTGTCAGCTAAAGACCTACAAAAATCTCTGGCACATGCTAACATTTTTGTTGACACATCTACAATAAGGAAAACATTAAACAAGAATGGAGTACATGGGAGGACACCACAGAGGAAGCCATTGCTGTCCAAAAAAAATATTGCAGCACATTTGAAGTTTGCAAAAGAGCACCTGGATGTTCCACAGCACTACTGGCAAAATATACTGTGGACAGATGAAACCAAAATTGAGTTGTTTGGGAAGAACACACAACACTATGTGTGGAGAAAAAAAGGCACAGCACACCAACATCAAAACCTCATCTCCACTGTAAAACATGGCAGAGGGAGCATCATGGTTTGGGGCTGCTTTGCTGCCTCAGGGCCTGGACAGATTGTTGTCATTGATGGGAAAATGAATTCCAGAGTTTATCAAGACATTTTGCAGGAAAACATACGACCATCTGTCCGCCAACTGAAGCTCCGCAGAGGATGGGTGATGCAAGAGGACAATGACCCAAAGCATACAAGTAATTCAACAAAAAAAATGGCTTCAACAGCACAGAGGAGTGGCCCAGTCAGAGTCCTGACCTCAACCCGATTGAAATGCTGTGGCATGACCTTAAGAGAGCGATTCACACCAGACATCCCAAAAATATTGCTACACTGAAACAGTTTTGTGAAGAGGAGTGGTCCAAAATTACTCCAGATCGTTGTGCAGGTCTGATCTGCAACTACAGGAAATGTTTGATTGAGGTTATTGCTGCCAAAGGAGGGTCAACCAGTTATTAAGTCCAAAGGTTCAGAGCACATTTTATGACCAATTCATGCAAAACTCCACGTAATCCCAAGGGGTTCACATACTTTTTCTTGCAACTGTATGTGTGAGGGGGAACCTTTACCTTTACTTTTATCCATGTACAAAAACAAGCCTAGACAAGATTAGCCAGAGAGATGCTCCTTAAGCAATCATCACAATAATGGTTGAGTGATATTCTGCATTGATAAGAGATAGTAAGCATACAAGTCTCCAACTAATATTCACATTACTCCAATTAGTCCACATTACTGCATAATTACAGCATTGTAATTTAAGCATTTTGAAAATTCTTCCTGCCCCACACCCAGACATAAAACTTATCATTTACAGATTTGAAATAAATAATGAGATCTATTCAATGAAAATATTTCTGCACTGAAAGGCTAGATGAGCCATTTTTTTTACATGGCATGCACCACTTCACAATATTATGGATGTCTTACATACACATACACAATATGAGTGCGCATACACACATATATACACATAAATATACTTTCCTTGCCCTATTTCACAAAGCAGACATATTGGAGAGAAAGGGATTATAAGAGAGTGAACAAGAACACAATGAGAGTACACTGGAGTGTTTGTGTAATGAACTCATGACTGTCAGGATTAACACACACTGCTTTCGATGTGTATTTTCCATTGTGTGCCTGCTTACTCTCTTGTAACCCCTTCCTCACCAATGAATGTAAATACAACATTAATTCCCTTCATGCCAATTATCACAGCATCAGAATGAATATTCCAAAGGGCAGGGGAGTGATTAGGAGGCAAAAAGCTGAAGGTGTGAAACTTATTACCACAGTCATGGCCACATGATTTCCTACTCAGTTTTGCTTAATGGAGGAGTTGTTGATCCCAACTGTGGTTACTAAGCAAGGACTACCTTAAATTCAAGTTGTCAGGATTTTCCAGGCTAGATTATTCCAATGCTAGTAATATATATGCTTGTAAAATTAATTTCCTCAAGGAGAGGGATCACATTTTGTGGATCATAGCTAAAGGGGAAATTAATGAAGCCTGAGAACCACTGCAGCATTATTGACAATAAATAATCACAAGCTATGCTATCTAAGATGATTTAATGGAACACACTCAGTAGGCACATCATCTTCCCCCTATATAGGGAGTGCATCCAAAAATGAAACATTTTATGATTTTCAGTTTATCAAGTAATGAAGGCATTTTTAAAAATTCTACGCATCTAAGGTCATTTAAGTAACTACAAGCAGAATGTACCCAGTAATATTGTTAATAATGCCTTACCATTGCATTGAGGGTCTCTTCCCAATCTGGTCTTTCACGGGGATGGATACTTCGTTGGAGCTCAGGCACAAAATCATCCTCTTCTGCATGTAAAGAGGACTTCATCATTCTTGAAGAAAAAGATGAACTCATAAATAAACTGAATCTTTTGAGTAAGTTAAACACTTTTAATAATTCTTAGTAATTCATAAGCCTTTATTGTTAGTCCCCAATATACCTTCTCAGGGCACAAATGCTTCTGTGGGCACCTTCCCAGGCCCATCAGCTCCCTGTTCCACCTGACTTTCCTATTTTTTTTTTTTAACCATTCCTTTAATTCCTTTAATTCCCAAGGAGCTGCTGATCCAGTTCTACAGAGGAATTATGGAGTCTGTCATCTGCACCTCTGTAACTATCTGGTTTGGCTCTGCAACCCAACAAGAGAGACACAGACTTCAGAGGATCATTAGAACTGCAGAAAAAACAATGGCTACCAACCTGCCTTCCATTGAGGACCTGTATACTGCACGAGTCAAAAAGAGGGCTGTGAAAATATTTACAGACCCCTCGCATCCTGGACATAAACTGTTTCAACTCCTACCCTCAAAATGACGCTATAGAGCACTGCACACCAGAACAACTAGACACAAGAACAGTTTTTTCCCGAATGCCATCACTCTGCTAAACAAATAATTCCCTCAACACAGTCAAACTATTCACTAAGTCTGCATTACTATTACTATTAATCTTCTCATCGTTCCTATCACCCATCTCCTCCCACTTATGACTGCATGACTGTAACTTTGTTGTTTGTATCCTTACAATTTATACTGATTGCTTCCTAGTATGATTCGATTCCTTATTTGTACCCATGACTATCATTAAGTGTTATACCTTATGATTCTTGACAAATGTATCTTTTCTTTTTATGTACACTTGAGAGAATATGCATCAAAGACAAATTCCTTGTGTGTCCAATCACACTTGGCCAATAAAAAATTCTACCTACCATGTTTCCCCTAAAATAAGTCCTCCCCCGAAAATAAACTCTCCCCTGAAAATAAACCCTCCTCGAAAATATTTAAACGCATGAGCAACCGGTCCCTGCCATTTCCTCTGGTTAGGGTTAGGGAGACAGAGCTGGAAATCAGGTAAGATGACAAGAGGAGCCCCATCTTGCTCCACACGCCCCAAAATAATAAGACCTCCCCGAAAATAAGGCCATGCGCTTATTTCATGGTTCAAAAAAATATAAGACAGGGTCTTATTTTCAGGGAAACACGGTATCTATTTTCTATCCTAAATTAACAGCAAGCTGGCTTGCTAAAAATAAAAAAGGCTGGCCTTCCCTTTCATCTTTATTTCCAATTATATTACTGAGTCCCAGAAGCAGGAGTGAAATGCTCCCAATTCGGACCGGATCGCCTGATCCGGTAGCGATGGCGGCGGGTGGTTCAGAGAACCGGTAGCAAAAATCCCTGCACTTCCCCCCCTCCCATGCCCAGCTGAGCCGCAAGATCATCAGAGGCTTTTTTTTTTAACTTTTAAAAGCATTTTTTCTATAACCTCTTCCAACAAAAAAATGCTTTTAAGAGTAAAAAAAAGCCTCTGTTGATCGCGTGGCTCAGCTGGGATTGTCAGAGGCTTTTCAAAGCATATTTTTCTACAACCTCTTGGCCGAAGGAGTGGTAAAAAAAATGCTTTGAAAAGTCTCTGACGATCCCAGCTGAGTTGTGCAATCGGCAGAGAGGTATTTTTTAAAAAGCCTCTCTGACGATCCCAGCTGAGTTGCCTGATCAGCAGAGGCTTTTCAAAGCATTAGAAAAAATACTTTGAAAAGTTAAAAAAAAAAAAAAGTTGGCCATGCCCACCCAATCACATTACACCCCCCATCAAGCCACAGAACCGGTAGTAACAAATTTTACATTTCACCCCCTCCCAGAAGCCTTCTGAGAAAATACAAAAAGATGTATTATTACAGTCCAGTCCATACTTTCTACAGAAGTATGTTTATCTATCGAAATAGGCAAAGATAAACCAGAGTTACAGATAGCCACACACATTGGGAAGTATAGTTTTCGACTTACAATCACAATTGAGGCCAACATTTTTGTTGCTTAAGTGAGAAAACTCATTGAGTTTTGCCCCAACTGTGACCTTTCTTGCCACAGTTGTAAAGTGAATCACTGCAGTTGGTAAGTGTTAGTTAGTTGTTAAATGAATCTGGCTTCCACATTGATTTTGCTTGTCAAAAGGGGATCACATGACCTTGGGACACAGAAACGGTCATAAAATCAGTTGCCAAGCAACTGAATTTTGATCACATGATCATGGGGATGTTACAAAGGTCATAAGTGTGAAAAACGGTCACAAGTCACTTTTTTCAGTGCTGTTGTAACTTTGAACGATCACTAAATGAACTGTTGTAAATTGAGGACTAGCTGTAACTATTTTATACCTGATATGTGTTCAATCCCTTTTAGCCTAGCTAGGTAGACCAGATAAGAAGCCTAACAAGGAGTATTTTACTAGCTATAACTTTACTGAAAGGGCTACATTAACAGAATCCTGCAACTTTGAACCTGTCCCTCCTGCCCTTCACTTTTACTCTCTCAAAAACTAGGAAGTGTCTCTTCTGAGAAGCTTCTGGAACCCTTCCTACTTTGGGCTCAAATTTTATCTGATGATTGTCTAAACTGCAGCTCTTCCTCCTGTCTCCCAAAGTCAATCCCATCTGCCATTCCAACCACATCCATCTTTTCAAAATGCCAAATGTGCCTATCACTTAACAGAGATGGGGTGTGGTGGCCCGTCAGCGGCCAGTGCAGCTAGTAGGTGATTCCGACAGCGAGGAGGCTGTTGGAGGCTGTTGCAGTGTGGTGCTGCGCCAGCAGCCTGTGCAGCTGGCACTCGAGTCAGACAATGAGGAGGCTGGAGAAGATGTGGTGCCAGGGGCGGGGATTCAACCAGGGCCTTCAGAACCTCCAGAAGCTCCCTTAAGTGAAGAGGATGAAGAGGAGCCGCCTCTTCTCAATGCACGGGTGCACAGAGCTGCCAAAAGGCAGGACTGGCTCCTCAGGAGGAAGTCTCCTCGAGAGTAAGGCTTGGGGCTAATTGGCCACTCCCTTACCCTATTTAAGGAGGAACGCCGACTGAAGCAATTTGCAGGGAACAATTCCGTTCACATACCTTCGTGTCTTGTCTTGCTTATCTTATCAGCTTCCTGCAAATTGCTTCTGGGCACTCTGCCAACCACAGTAAGCTTTCAGTATTATTCTTTGAATTCTTGGCGGCTGTTAATGCAGTTAATTAACAGCCGTTATTGTAAAAAACTGGTTTATTTAGTAAACTAAGGTTTGAATGGACTTTGTGTGTGCTGCGTTCTTTGGGGTCCGTAGCTGGGGCAGAACATGTGGATTCTTATCCTTTATCTTATCTCTGTCGTCGTTTTTCCCCCTCTTGGGTGCATTTGGGAGAGTTATACATAGCTAAGCTCTAGCTAGTGGCCTAGCAATATTGATAGTATATCGATAGTATCCTATTTAGATAGGAATGGTGCGGTGTCCTAGAGGTGGAACTCTCGCCTCACAATCAGGAGGCTGTGAGTTCGATCCTAGATAGAGGCAGGTATTTCTCTCTCTGGGCACAATGAGAATGTATCTGCTGAACAAAACTCCGCACTGGTGACAGGAAGGACATCCGGCCATTAAAACACTCTGTTAGCTCCATTCAGTTGCCCAGACTCCACCCCGCAAGGGATTATCATTAAAAAATGATGATGATGATGATGATGATGATGATGATGATGATGGTGATGGTGATGGTGATATAGATACCAATATTTTAGCACTTAGACTTATATAAAAGTATACATATATCTTTTCTATAATGTACACTATAATATAATGTATCTTTCCTTTTATGTACACTGAGAGCATATGCACCAATACAAATTCCTTGTGTGTCCAATCACACTTGGCCAATAAAAAATTCTATTCTATTCATATATAAGACTTCTACTACATACACCACTTTCTGAGCGGTTTACAGAGTCGGCATTTTGCCCCCAACAATCTGGGCCCTCATTTTACCAACCTCGGGAGGATGGAAGGCTGAGTCAACCTGAAGCCTTGTCAGGACTGAAAACAAAGTACTTCAAATATTACATCATTTCACTTGCTATTTAAGAATGGTTTTCCAAATAGATTTGCTAAAGAAGAGAAGTTGTTTCAGTAGCACTGAATAATTCATCTGTGATTAATCTAATTTAACCATGACATTATGCTAATTCGATCGTAATACTAGACCAGAAAGCTCTCAACTTGCCAGTAGTGGAACAACTAGGCTTTGTCCCATGTGAAATTATTCTGAAATTGCTATCTAAAACAGGACTTGTTGCTAATTTAATAATGTAAAAACCAGAGACATTTACCGACTTCAAAACCTGTTTTCAATTTATATTGTTGAATCTGAATTAATATGAGAGCATTGTGTTAAGGCAATCGGAAGGAGGAATTCTTGAAATAAGATATTAAAACCATTTTCTCATTTTCCTCCTTCTGATGTTTTTATCACTTTTCCCTTAGCTAATAATAATAATAATAATCCCAAAACAACTGGAGCATCATTTGAACACCATCGGCATTGACAAAATCACTCTCAGTCAATTGCAAAAGATAGCTTTACTTGGAATAGTTTACATTCCGCGACAATAACTTTTAACACCATCAAACATCGTCTGCCTATCCTGAGTTCCATTCTAGAAGTGAATAAAAATGCCAAATCCAATCTAAACATAAGGCTTACAGTGTGACCAACCATCATCATCATCATCATCATCATCATCATCGTTGTATGCTGCCTGAGTCTCGGGGAACCTAGGTGATTCAAGACAAAGAAAGTACAATAAAATCAATAAGAGATAAAGATATTAAGGGGTTAGGATACCACCATTTGACAGTCTCATTATGGAGGGAGAATGGCTCTTGGGACAGGGCAAATTAAATTTTGTACCACCTCATGGACAGAAGGAAACATGTACAGGAGGCAAAGTACACAAAATAATTGTTCAATTGTTTTATTTAATCCCCAAGAAGAAAAGGGGGTAGTTGTGGCCAGGGTGGATTTGAT